TATGCTTAGCATACTGCCAAAACACGTAGCCTTTCAAACTATATAACACACTAGAAAGTTTCAACCCTGTCCAGTTTGACGCAAACACAAGTGTAAACGTATCGCCATATGCAAAACTGCACAAACTATACTCAATTTGATAGCATGTGCAAAAACAGATGCTCGAAATATGCACTATAATGCAGTGTTGGGGGTAACGCATTACAAATAACACGGGTTACGTAATCAGACTACTTTTTTTGAAGTAACTAACAAAATAATGCATTTAAAGCATTTAAAGTGACACTGCAGTGCATTGTTTCAATAAACAGAAAGTTATTGTATGCTAGTGTGGACGCTAAAATAGTTAACATTTGTTGTGTGAACAGGCCTTAAGAAGATTGAAAAATGGTCATGGATTTGAGGTCTACAAAGGTCTAAGTCAGGGGTAGGCAAGTTCGGTCCTAGAGAGCCGCAGTCCTGCAGAGTTCAGCTCCAACCCTAATCAAACACACCTGAACAAGCTAATCAATGTCTTCAGGATTACTAAGGCTATAGGCAGGTGAGTTTTTTTTTCAGGGTTGGAGCTGAACTCTGCAGGATCTCTCTAGGACCGAACTTGCCTACCCCTGGTCTAAGTGAACAGAATTGAGGTCTAGATGAGTTCTTACCTTTTCCGGTAATGCTTCGTATTCCCTGCACGGATGGAGAGAAGTGACCTTCTGCTCTCTTTTCTAGCCGCCTCACCATAGTAGAGATAGACTACAAGACCAAGACAACGAAGAAAGGAGAGTGGAGGTCAAAACTGAAGCGATTCTCAAATGATTCAGCCAACAAACGGCATGACCTTTGCTCGTACAAACACACATGGCACATTCAGCATGTCTGATAATCAGAGGCGGACAGTAACTAAGTACATTTACTTGAGTATTATACTTAAGTACACTTTTTGAGTATCTGTACTTTACTTGAGTATTATTTTTTCTGGGTTCACTGTACTGTATTCAGTAGGTGTAATGTATTCTAAGTTGCTTCAGAAGTATTGCAAGTATTACGTACAACAATAAAACATTGACATAAAAAAGGAAATTTACTTTTGGTACTTAAGTACTTTTAAAAGCAAGTACTTCTGTACTTTTACTTAAGTAAAAACCTGTCTTTACAACTTTTACTTGTAATGGAGTAATATTTGACCAGCAGTATCTGTACTTTCACTCAAGTAATAGAGTTGAGTACTTTGTCCGCCTCTGCTGATAATCTCTGGCCAAATTCATTGGCACACTGTACACACTGACTCCTCCATGCTGACGTTCTGCACCAGTATGAAGGGACACACATCCATCGCACCCGTCCGAGGGTGTTCACCTGTTCAAAAACATCATGTTTACTAAACTAAAGTCATGTCAAGATGAATAATATGTCTACTTCTGCTACTGCCTCCACAGCTGTACCTGAGTGTTTGGTCATGTCTATGAGTTTAAACGCGACGCGGCCAGCGTTCAGCACCCCCTCGATGACAGCCGCGGGTGGGCCCACAAAAGCGTACACTGTCCTGTTTGTTGAAGACCCTGGGTTGACGTCCAGCAAACTGCAGCCCTCTGTGGCAGACATGGCATCAGCTATTGCCAGTGTTGCCAACTGCTTTCAATTGAAAGTAGCTAAAACTGGTAGCTAAATGTCACTAGATGACATCACAATGGCAAATTTACTGATCTATATAAAGATGAACGTAGATCAGTGGGCAAGATGAGAACTTAGATAAGGTTTGTCCAAGCAGTTGCTATATTTGTCCCTAAACTTTTGAAAAAAGTCTCAAAAGGGGCGGGGAAGTCGCTAAATCTAGCTACAAAGTAGCTAAATTGGCAACACTGGTATTGCGTCAATGACCTGGATATTATATATTAGTCAAAATATTGCAAAGCACTCAAAAATTGTATATCATCTTATGCTGGATCAAAAAATTTATAATAATTGACATTTGTAAATTGTAATGTTACTTTGTGTATTATTATAAATAAATATAAATGCATAGTTTAATTACTTTTTTCATTTTCTGAAGTGTGCAGGTTATTTTTGTAAAAAGAAATGCGATTGATTCGCTTGAGAAAATTTCAGAAAAAATACATTCCAAAACAATTAATGCAAAAGGTGTTTACACTGACTTTTAATGCATTTTCACAGTCTTTTGGCATTTTTTATCATTTCCTTGGCCTTAATTTATAAACAACAATAGGCCTACTAAATGATCATTTATTTCATAAAATAATTTTATATATAAAAAAAGCTTTAATCTGGTGATCTCACAGTTACTGTAGCCAAAAGCTAAGTGTTTGATTCATGAACCGACTAAATGTCAGAAATTTAACCGATTAAATGAACCGACTCGACTCATTCCCTCAGAAACCGAACTACGTTGGTCATACAGTGAATTAAGAAGAACCGACTCATTATAGTGATTCATTCGGGAAACTGATTACAACGGTTGCGCTGTTTGATTCACTACAAAGAACAGGCGGATTCGTCCGGGAATCGGTGATTTTGTATATAAAAAAATAACTAATTCAATACAAGTTATTCGTACTGAATCAGGATACACTGGTAGCGCTGTTTGTTTTTGATTCAGTTAAAAGAATCAACTCATTAGAGTCGTTCAGGAATCTGACTATACTGGTCGTGCTGTGAATTTAAACGATCAGATCATTAGTGATTCGTTCGGAAATCGGAATGGTTGCTACTTGATTCACTAAAAAGAACCGGCACACACGAATCATTCGTTCAGTAATCGGACTACACAATCTTCCGTTTACTCTTTTTAATTCACAAAAAGAACCGAATCGAGTCATTATTCACACTGTAATTGGGCTAAACTGTGGTCTGCATGTTTTTGATTAAGTAAGAACTCTTATGAATCGAACCAACTCAGAGTGATTCAATCGGAAATCGGAATACAATTTTTTCGTTGCATGTTTTTGATTCATAAGAGTTCTTTCGTTCTGTTATTAATCTACACTGGTCGCGTTAGATTTTTTTGAAAGTAAAATCGGTGCGGCCATTTGTAACTTGAATGTGCGACACTTCCGGTGGCATTCCCTTCCATTTATTTTGGTTGTACACAATCAGTATGTTATGTTTGCCATGGTACTTGTTATAGTATTTTAATTAGTAGCATAATCGTAAACAGTTATTTGTAGAGCAAATTTTACTGTTACTGCACTTTGTTATTCTTCTAATTAATTGACATAGTGGCAAATGAATCGGAAGACTAGCACATTCACAGGAAATAGCTTTCTTTTGCATTGAAAAATAAGTGGTTGCATTAGCTGTGTTGCAGCTTTGTTGAATAAACAGAAGAACAAACTTTCCTCACACACACTTGTCTACTGACTACCCTGGTTCCCAAACGTGGAACCTATAAAGCATCGGCAAACATATCTTTTGAATAATTAACCTGTCCTGTGGACTGGATTTAGGTCAATTGGCAATAACTCTCTTGTATTTACAGATAACCACTTTTTGGGAGGTTTTGCCAAAGTCTAAGCAATGTTTGATGAGAAACCCTCCCAAAAAGTCCAAATACATTGGCATTTTTAAAACAGCTTCTGACTACGGTTTGGTTAAAAATTGGGGCAAGAACATGAAATTTGGTCTTTCAGTTGGTAGCAACTAATACAAATAACATTGATAAGGCAGACAGTTTAATAAATGACTAAAATGAAATGAATGAATAAATGAATGAATAAATGAAAACCACCCAAACAGTTGCATCATGCCCAAAAAAACGGGCTGTGATTTCTGGTTAATAAATGATCCGGACAGGGGCCAAAGAGCTGGAAGAGGAGGACAACTTTACCCCATTCCCCATGTTTTTGGATGGGACACAAATACCCTCTTGTCAAAGTAACACTGACATTATGCAAGAATGAGAAATGTAAAGTAAAAAAAAAAAAGTTGCTTATGTGGCCTGTGTTCGCATGCTTTTCTAAAATAATACAACAAAAACTAAATTTATTTGTAATCTTAAATTAATTTTTAACATTTAAAGCAAGATGACATTGATGATTTTAGTGAAAATCTGAATTTTAGTGAATTTTGTGAAACTTTTTGCCAGTGAAATTCAGTAAAATGAATCTATCATTTTAATAATATTACAATAATAATATTGTTTTTTAATTGTAATGATAATATAATAATATTAATTTTAATAATATCATATAATATAATATTTTTTATTTGCTATCTATCGTTCTATATAATCATCTATCTATCGTTCTATAACTTTTAAGTAATATTACAGTAATTCTATTTTGTTATTTTAATAATACAGTTATTATTATTATTATTACCAGTGTTGGGGGTAACTAATTCATCCCACTCACAAAAAAACAGATTTAGTATTCATCAAAATGAATTAAAACAGTGAAATGCAAACTCAGAATATGAAGCAAACCTGCAATAATTAAATATGTTAAATAACACAAATGTATCTAATCCCATTTTATTAACCAATATCTTTGCTGCTGACCTTTGATGATCCAGTTCAACCATACTAATAAGCAAAAATGATTTTAGATAAACTAACAATTGTGCTTCATTGTTTTTTTTATTGCTGAAGAGTGTTCACAGACGTGAATTTACTTTTGCTTCAGCCTGAGGTTTATTCATTACACTTTTTGGTGTGAAAGGGCTTTTATATTTGCTATAAATAGAACTTCTTATATTAAAAACAATCAAGCCCTGCTTGGCTGCTTATATTTAAAAAGTAACGCGAAAGTAACGCAAAAGTAATATAACGCATTGCTTTCCATAAAAAGTAACTAAGTAATTAGTTACTTTTTTTAGGTAGTAATGCAATATTGTAATGCATTACTTATAAAAGTAACTTTCCCCGACACTGATTATTACTACAGTAAATTTTATTAATGAACCGCTTATTAATGAGTCCGCTTGGGTGCAGCAGTGAACGCTAGATCCCTTATTACTCTCCATAAACTTACGCCGAAGAAGAAAAACCTACCGGAAGAGATTAGAACCGTAGAAGAAGAAGAAGAAGAAGAAGAAGCAGCAGCAGCGGAAGGCGGTTGTTTTCTTTTAGCTTATTTGCTAATGTAAACCCGATTTTTTTCCTCTTTGTTTTAACAACTACAGCTCACTTGTGCTCTGGAGATCACAATAAAGTGGTAGGGAGAGGATGTTGGCTACAGGAACGGTGAGATTTTGCAAGGTTTTGGGCGTTTTACGATTGTTTATGCTGAGGCCTGATGGAGCTAACGGCTAAAACTAATGCAGTCAGTCACTATGGTGATGTATTAAAACGTCTACGCTGCGTTATATTAGGATACGATTATGTATCTTGCGTAATGTGAGTTTATATGTTTATTAGAGTATCTTATGTCTGAAATAAGAGTCTTAGGAAATTACGAGTCTATTGAGTTTTTCACGTGTGCTGTTTGTAAACATGCGCTGCCATTAGTTATTAATGTGTGATTGATACTTTTATTATTAATAATAATATTAATGAAACGGTTTATGCAGAATATCAGTAGTCTGTCTTTTTTTGTTGCGGTTTCTTGAAATATTGCATTGTTATCCAGTAATAATAATTTAATTTGTCAATAATGGTTATTTAGAACATTGTATGTAAGATTATAACAAAGTGCATAAATAGAAAATATGGGACATAAAAAATAAACATTTAAAGAAATCAAGTCTGTAATTAAAATGTAACAAGTTTATGTAAGAATGATTAAATTATAAAAACGAAATAGTGTATATAAAATAAACGTTGCAATTCGTTCTATTCGGTTCTATTAAAGGAAATGCACAAAAAGATGCATTTTTAGTAATAACAATCAAAACAACAACAATGTGAATGCAAATAAAGCTTGATTTTCTAATAAATATTGGTTCTAATGTTCGTCTGTTTTCTCATTTTGATTTTGTAAGCCGAGCTCTGTAATCTCTGTCCTGTAGACTGTAACCACGGCGGGTCTGACGCAGGTGGACCGTGACAAGATCTATCAATGGATCAACGAGCTCTCCAGCCCTGAAACGCGTGAGAATGCCCTGCTGGAGCTCAGCAAGAAGAGGGAGTCTGTGACAGATCTGGCCCCGATGCTCTGGCACTCCTGCGGTACTATAGCGGCTCTCCTGCAGGTGCGCAGAAATCACTTCATGCTCAATTTAACACGCAATAAGCTGAGACCTGGTTAGCAAACAATATTATATATATGTACACGCATATTTTAGTGTGACACAACAAAATAAAGATTCTTGGTTAAAAAAAAATTTAATTCTACACTTAATTTAGGTCTATACCCTTTGGCATTTTATTCTTTTTTTATTTTTATAAGTTTTTAAAATATAACTTAAATATAATTACAGCTGTGTTGGCCTAAACCTAAATCTGTAGTTGTGTAAAAATGTTAATCAAAAAAATATATATTTTAATAAACTGTTAACATTTACATCTAATGAATTAATGTGTTATTTTGCAGAAAATTTCAAAAATGGGAAAAAAGGAATTTGTAACTGCATTTTTCTTGATTTATCAAATTTTTTTATTTAGAAATTCAGCCCAAAATTTTTGATTGAGAATGAATGACATTTGGCAGTAAAATTAATAAATAAAAAATGACTAAAACCTGTTAATTAGCAAGGAATGAAAATAGAGTATAACATTTTGCACTCAATGATACAAAAATAGAAATATCGCATTAAATATCGCATGCGATTTATCGTGCAGCCCTAGTATGAAGTGATTTGTAACTACCTTTTTGATTGAACTGGTTTATTTCAGTTTTTTTTTCTTTTTTTTCCAGTTTATAAGTAAATCTAGTTTATTAGATCTTCTTTTGAATGATAATGAATGACATTTGACAGTAAAATATTCAGATATTTAAAAATAAAAATAATACATATGATTTTCATTTTAATGAATGAATGTGCCAATTTAAAGAAAATTATTATTTAAAAAAATTATACAATTATTTAAAACTAAATGAATGAGTTGTGAGAATACAGTATAACCTTTAGCAGTTGATGCAAAATAAAATTATTTAAGATATTGTAATTTTTAATATAGAAAGTGATTTATACCTGCATTTTTAATGATTTAACTGGTTTTTGAATTCATAAATCATCAAAAACAAATTTGGATGAAAATGAATAACATTTGACTGTAAAATAATTATTTAAAATTAGTTGTATCCACATTAATTCAATTATTAGGAAAATGTATATATAAAACATACATAAAATAAATAATAATATTAACAATAATAATGAGATTGTGAACATCTACCCATCCATAAACCCCCCGACACTGACAGCACATCAGTCTAATCGAGTGTGTAACGCTTTAGCACTGCTGCAGTGTGTGGCCTCCCACATAGAGACACGGTAACTCCCTTCCTGTACACACAGGAAATGACACAGTTATTAATTTTGTGCCACACTGACCCCCCCCTTTTTCTGTTTTTCATCCTCAGCTCTGCTTTCCTGGCAGCTCACATCCCTCTGTTTCTGTATCCCTTCCTGCACACAGTCAGTAAAACTCGACCCTTCGAATACCTGCGGCTCACGAGTCTGGGTGTTATCGGTAAGAAAGCCAGCTAATACAGAGAACAATCAAAATCGTCTTAGTAAGAAAGAGTGTATTGAGATGTGTTTGTCTGATAGGCGCACTAGTGAAAACAGATGAGCAGGAGGTGATCAACTTCCTGTTGACCACAGAAATCATTCCTCTCTGTCTGCGCATCATGGAGTCCGGCAGCGAGCTCTCCAAAACGGTTGGCTTACTAAAATGTCACCAGATTCCTTCTAACATGTATTATTTATGAGTGGATTCAGAAGGATGGATGTATTTTGCAGGTGTATTTTTTTAAGCGTGTGTTTTTCTTTCAGGTGGCCACATTTATACTGCAGAAGATCCTCCTGGATGACACGGGTCTTGCGTATATCTGCCAGACCTACGAACGCTTTTCACATGTTGCCATGATACTGGTGAATCATTATTATTCATCTTATCACGGGTCTTGCGTATATCTGCCAGACCTACGAACGCTTTTCACACGTTGCCATGATACTGGTGAATCATTATTATTCATCTTATTCATCATTTTTATTATGCTTCATTGACATTTGGTACTGATATACTGAGAGCTAACCATGTTGGACACTTGAAAAAATAAATATAAGAAAAAAAAAAAGGAAAAGTAATAACAGTGATGATATATACATGTAACGATTAATGTGTCATTTTGCAGAAACCTGGTGAATTATGTAATGAAAATACAGTCTAATAATTTGCATTTGATGAAACAAAAAATTAATAAATGCAAATATTAATAAAACAATTTTTTTTCTCATTTAAATCTGATGAATTAATGGAAGTGCAGTCAAAAAGTTTGCATTTGATGATGCAAAAAAATTAAATGAATGCAAATATTAATAAAACAATTATTTTTTTTATTTATAAAGTGATTTGTAACTGCATTTATTGATTTAACTGATTTACCTATGAACCATTTTTACATGTTTACTTTTTTTTGTGCTTTTTGTCTTGCAGGGGAAGATGGTTCTTCAGTTGTCGAAGGAGCCTTCGGCTCGCCTGCTGAAACATGTCGTGCGCTGTTATTTACGACTTTCTGACAACTCCAGGTATTTTTTTTTTCCCAATATTTTCCCTGCTTTTGGAGTTCCTTGTTCATTGTTGGCCTGTAGGAGGTGCACAAATATTGCAGTTTGGCAAAGATTAGGGATCCTGTTTGTGCTCTTAATTCAGTGTGATTGATCAATCAAAATAAAGAAGATCAGACATCATATTTAAATATAAATCATATTTTGTGTCTCTCAGGGCGAGAGAAGCTCTGCGTCAGTGCCTGCCCGACCAGCTGAAGGACACCACGTTTGCTCAAGTGTTAAAGGACGACTCCACCACCAAACGCTGGCTCGCTCAGCTCGTCAAAAACCTACAGGAAGGGCAGGTCACAGACCCCCGCGGCATCCCCTTACCTCCTCAGTAACACACACTCACACTTATCCCAAACCCTCCAGGACGGCCAGCACCACACCTTAAACACATCAGACTGTTTCACATACAAGGGCACTTCATATTTTTTTGCCAAGAAGCTCAGAAACGGTGCTCAGCATTCACGGTTTGTTTCAAGATATTAACAATTGACTTTAGACTCTGCTGGACTGAGGAAGAGTCAGTCTCATCCATTATTAGGCTTTGTTTCTTTTTCCTCTAAGCCTTTTTGATGGAATCGAGAGGAACTGAAAGACTGTTTTGTCTGTGTTTTTCATCACAAAAATGTGTAATTTTGAATGCTGTTAAATAAACCGTGTCATGCCATCGTAAATGTCAAGTGAAATTGCCGTCTGCTGTGCTGCCTTTCTGGTCATGAGGAGGAAGTAGGATATTTTACTCTGGAATAAATTTCAGGCTCATTTAAAATTACAGTTAAAGACCATAGAATAGACATTATGAAATTATGTGAGTGAAATTAAGGATGTGAGAAGATATAGTTTGTTCAATATATTAATATTAATAATAAATAACAGTTTGTTCAATATATTGTACTTATATCAAATGGTATTACATTTAGTGTAAAAGTGCAATTTTATTAAGTTATTATATCGTGTAATATATAAGTACAGTATAATATTTACTAAATTAAATTAAGTGTAAAAATATTTATAATATGCAATTATTTACACTACATATATTGTGTGAAAATATAACTTGTATAATTATCATTATTGTAATATTAATATATAATATGTAATATTACACAGATTTTTAGTTATATATATATATATATAAATATATACTTGACAAAAAAAATCTGATTTACTGTAAAAAATATACAAAAATTTTAATATTTTTGTCTTTTATATAAATCTAAGTTATTAGTATATTTGTTTATATAATATATAAATTTTTGTTCTGAGACAGCTATATAGCACTCGCTGAATTAAATGTGTGGGACAACAAAGAAGCATTTAAAAATATTTAGAGTTTTAAAACATTGTTTCTTCCCTTTTTTATAAACAAATGGCATGCAGTAAAATGTATGCATATCTTGATACTTGATACTTGCAATTTCATTGGCTGCCACCCGCAGACCATTAGTAGTACTGCAAAAACCAGCTCTGGAGCAGAGGAAATAATAAAACAATGGCCACATGTTTTCAAATCAGAAATTATTTATTTTTAATGCAGTGAAATCTGTGGTGAATCGGTGGCTAACAGTACTTAAATAATTTGTATTAAAAAAGTACTGTTAGCTGTCCAGTCTTACACATATGTCCCATTTTCCTTAAAGGGGTCATATGATGCTTTTTTAAAGATCATTATTTTGTGTATTTGGTGTAACAGAATATGTTGACATGCTTTAATGTTCAAAAAACACATTTATTTCGAATCAGAGGGAGTGTCAGCCACGTTTAAAAAGTGAATAACTTAAGTAATTTTTGGATTAATGCTTACACTTTTCAACAATTAAGTCCGATTTGGTGAACTGGTTCAACCGGTTCACTACGAAGAACAGGTTAAATCGAACGATTCGTTCGCGAACCGGACATCACTAACACACATACATACAATGCGCAAAACTCCGCATTTGAACAGTCAATAGCAAATACTCAAGCAAGGGTGACCACAAAAAAACTAGTAATCATAACTTACATCACAAAAAAACGTTTATTCATACAAATGAACCAATATAACAAAATAAACACAAACAAAATACATCATATAACAGAAATTCATTTCTCCTCATAAAAAAGAATATTAATAGCCAGCCAACCCTCTGTAAACCCCAATACAATCCAAGCTTCTCTGCACAAAGTAATTCAAAGTCGTTTCAATGAACCGGTTCATCGGTTCTTTTACGCCCTAATGTAACGACGTCATTCGCGATGACGTAATGATATCAAGTCTATCGTCCCAGGGCCTGGATGAAAATACCCTTAGCTACACCCTAGCATTGTGGCTAAGGTTTCACCTAGAAATTTTCCAGCAACACTCTAGAAAAAACCAAAAACTTAGCAACATCCTAAAACGACTTTGAACAGCAACCACCTAGCAACTCCCTATTATTGTACCACTTAGGCCAGTAGGCGATGTACAATCATCCAACCAGGACACCGTAGTAACCAAATAGCAACATGCTAAAAACCATTCAGAACACTTTACTGGCCACATAGCTACACCCTAGCATTGTGGCTGAGGTTTCACCTACAATCTTCATAGCAAGCCCTGAGAAAACACATCAACATTTTAAAATGGTGATTATGCGGCAACACCCTAACATTGTGGCTCAAGCCGTATAGCAACAACCCAGCATTGTGTCTGTTTTCATTTGGTTTGGTAATAAAACGTGTACCAATGCAGTAGCACCCTACAAACTTCATGGCAACTTGTTAAAATAATTCTGAACACCTTAGCAACAACATAACTACTCATAGCATTGTAGCTCTTTTGACTTGGTTCAAGAACTAAATGCCTAGGAACCTTATAGCAACGCATTAGACAACACTTAGCAACATGTTAAAATGCATTAAAACAACTTTGAACACTTTAGCAACAACCTTAGCTACACCCTAGCATTGTGGCTAAGGTTTTACCTAGAAATCTCTTAGCAACACTCTAGAAAACACTTCTAAAATAGCGACTGCGCAGCAAACCCTAACATCATGGCTCTTTTGAATCAGGCTAGTAAGCATACACCTTAGAAACCACATAGAAACACGCTAGTATCCATCAGAACGTCTCATACTTAGGGATTTGTAGTTTTAACTTGGGCAGGTAAGTATTTACCTAGCAGCACTTAGCTACACCCTAGCATTGTGGCTAAGGTTTCACCTAGAAATTTTCCAGCAACACTCTAGAAAAAACCAAAAACTTAGCAACATCCTAAAACGACTTTGAACAGCAACCACCTAGCAACTCCCTATTATTGTACCACTTGGGCCAGTAGGCGATGTACAATCATCCAACCAGGACACCGTAGTAACCAACTAGCAACATGCTAAAAACCATTCAGAACACTTTACTGGCCACATAGCTACACCCTAGCATTGTGGCTGAGGTTTCACCTACAATCTTCATAGCAAGCCCTGAGAAAACACATCAACATTTTAAAATGGTGATTATGCGGCAACACCCTAACATTGTGGCTCAAGCCGTATAGCAACAACCCAGCATTGTGTCTGTTTTCATTTGGTTTGGTAATAAAACGTGTACCAATGCAGTAGCACCCTACAAACTTCATGGCAACTTGTTAAAATAATTCTGAACACCTTAGCAACAACATAACTACTCATAGCATTGTAGCTCTTTTGACTTGGTTCAAGAACTAAATGCCTAGGAACCTTATAGCAACGCATTAGACAACACTTAGCAACATGTTAAAATGCATTAAAACAACTTTGAACACTTTAGCAACAACCTTAGCTACACCCTAGCATTGTGGCTAAGGTTTTACCTAGAAATCTCTTAGCAACACTCTAGAAAACACTTCTAAAATAGCGACTGCGCAGCAAACCCTAACATCATGGCTCTTTTGAATCAGGCTAGTAAGCATACACCTTAGAAACCACATAGAAACACGCTAGTATCCATCAGAACGTCTCATACTTAGGGATTTGTAGTTTTAACTTGGGCAGGTAAGTATTTACCTAGCAGCACCCTAGCTTTCACATAGCAACATGCTAAAAAACATTCAAAACGGCAGCTGTGCATCAACACAATAGCATTGCGACTCTTTTGACCTGGGCTAGTAAGAGAACACCCTAGCAACCACATAGCAACATGCTAGTACCCACCCAGAACACATTAGCAACTGCATAGTAACACTCCTTTCACTCTGCCAGTTAGCAAACACAGCAACACGCTAACAACCATTTAGAACGGCAACAGCGTAGCAACACCCTAGCATTGTGGCTCTTTTGACTTGGTCAAGTAGGCAAACACCTAGAAACCTCATAACAACACACCTAGCAACATGCTAAAATCCATTAAAAATGGCAACTTTCTTTTGACTCGGGCTAGTAAGCAAACAGCCACATAGCAACGTGCCAGTATCCACCCAGAACATGCTAGCTCACTCTTTTGACAGTTAGCAAACACAGAAATGTGCAAAACCACTCAGAATGACAGCAGTGTAGCAAACGTGGCTTTTTGACTCCTTAGCAAACACATTACGACTTTAGAAAAATGCAAAAACACTCTGTTTGGCATAATGTAATATGAAAATAGCTTTGATAACGCAGTCAGTCAGAAACTAGGAACGGCATTTCTCTGAATTTGCTCAGGATTATTTATAAAAGTGTTACATTTCACATCTGCATGTTTATTCGGTCACGATTAAAGCTTTAGTTGTCACACCGCAGGAATGCAACACTCCAATTACGCAATGTGCCGGATTGTGTTTCCACCTCAAAACTGACATACCCTCGTTTTATCTGTACAGAGGGACAGAGAGACGCAAGACAAAGCAGCCTGAGGGAAAGAGATGTTTTGACTCCCAAAGACGGAGAGGGGATGGAAAGCGTATCTTGAGGACAAGGGGCCCTTGTGGACATCGAGTCCCGTGTGTTGCTGTGGATCTGTGGGTGTGTGGTTGTGCGTCAGAGGGAGGTGTGTTGTGGTACATTAAGCTGTGGGGAGATGTGGACAGTCAGTCTGGCTCTTTTGAAGTTGGGGCCACATTACACCGGCTTCTCCTGAGTTATGCTCTTCTTCAAAGCTCAAATACAGATCCAACTATGAGCCCACACAGGGTAAGTCCTCCTTCAACCCTGAGATATTAAATATTATTGTATTCAAGTACCTGACTTTGAAAGTTTATCTACAGATACAGGTTACCTTTTCACACCTGTTGCTTGTTTTGTCTTTCTGCTGTTGGTTAAATTGTTGTTTTTAATAATTTATACATATTTATGTACCTTTTATAGTGTAGTTATTTATATTTTGTATTATTTTTTATTATTTTATAAAAATATACAAATGAAAACAATTAAATACATTTAAAACTAAATTATTTTGCAATTGAATTTTTTATAATATAATATAGTGAACATACTGGTATTGTTGACACTGTTGTTGTAGTCTTTTGTAGCTTGATGTAGCTCATTTGTGTAGCTCAGAGTTTTAGTCATTAGTTGTAACAACAACTAACAACAAATGAATTGAAAGAATCTGGTGAATTGGGAGTTCAGGGTGTTTTTGTTAATAACTCGTTAGTAATGTTGAACATTTTGTCCGCCATGTTTAAGGCAACTGGCTTTATGTGAAACCTGAATCTTCATGGCAACTTTGGCTGGGTGTTACAACACATCTCTGCTCACATGGCTAGCTTGTGGTCATTTTTTTTGGTGTTGTTTTTAGATTAGTGTTATTTTAATTTTAACATAGTATACTCAGAAATGCAGTTCATTCAATTTAATTATATTTAATTAATATTAACAGATGTGTGACATTTTTTGTATGATTTTGCATAGCTGTGCAGTATTTGAGGGCGAGTGTGAGATGCTTTCACAAAGAACAGATCCATACAAACATTGAAGAGTCTGAGTCAACAGCTCTAGTGCTGATCCCTGTATTAAAGCCAGACATCCAGGGGCTTTTGACTAACAACAGCCATTTATACCATCTGAAAGACTTATTTTAGGGTTTGCATATATATTTGTTCAAAAGCTGTAAAAAGGTTGTCGGTTGCATTAATGGAGGAACAGACTGAAATCAAGACTTAAAAATTGGTTTTAATATTATTACTAACACAGTTCAGTTTCTTAAAAATATAAGTATCTGAATATTTTACATTGTTTGTGTGGTGTTTTTCTTTTTAAATTATGGTTGATGGCTTGTTGTATTAATAAAAATTATGCTGTTACATATAAAATCTAGCTTTTTATGTTAGGGGATGCCTCAGATATACCTTTTTAATGCATGTTTTTAACAGTTACAGGCGTAACTTTTATTGTATGATAAATGTTAAGTATATGCTATGAAATGTATGATGTCTTTTAATATTATTTTCTCCACTTTTGTCAGTGTGACCCATTCATTTCTTCTCTCTCTTTATTCTTAAACAGGAGACACCTAAAAAATGACAGAACGACAGATGGCTTCTACTGAAAGGAGCCTACGTAAGTTTACATTTATGGGGGAAAAAAATCCTCATTGGTGTCAGTGTATTTATTTGTTCCTTAGTAACTGATACAGTGTTGTACATGTATCCACACTGCAAGTAAAGCAGGTGGTTTATAGAGAAATTACCATTATAGACTGTCAATATGAACACTTTTAAAGAAGTGATATGAAGATTATTTCATCATTGTTAGAACTGTTGGGAGGTTCTTACTGGGAAAGCTTGATAAAAGGGCTAAATTATATCTTATTTTGCATTTAAAATGCTAAATATTAAATCAAATCTATTATATAACAATTCCATTAGCTCATCTGGTAGAGTTAGAGTGCTAGCAACAAGGATTCATAAAATGTGTGCCAAAACCCATCTTATTTATATCTAAACATTCATTATCTGGTTATGAGAGGCAGGGTTTTTTTTTTACGTTTTGTGTTTACATGATGTGCTGAGAATCCGGGTCAGGTGCATTACCTGTTGTCTGAGCCCTCCTCGCCCTCTTTGTCTCCTGTACTGTCTTGCTCCTCAGGTATCCAGGCTGACGACGACCTGAAGTCTATGTTTGTTGGCACAGTGATGAGAAAAATCAAGTCTCGCACGTGGAAAAAGCAGCGTTATTTCCGGCTACAAGAAGATTGCATGACTATCTGGTACAAGAGCAAGAAAGCAGGAAATGCACACTCCACCTGTAAGTAGCACTGACAAGATCCACAATCTGTAATTATTAGCCATTTATCCAAAGCAACATGCTGTACTGAAAGAACAATCCCATTTGCCAGGGGTGTCCAGTCCTCCTCCTGGAGGGCTTGGAGAGTTTAGCTGCAACACACCTGCCTGAAAGTTTGTAGTGATCCTGAAGACCTTCTTTAGCTGGTTCAGGTGTTTAATTGGGGCTGGAGCAAAACTCTGCTGGAAGGTAACCCTCCAGGAGAAGGATTAGACTCTGCTGTAATAAGAGAAACCTGAGTTTAAGTGTCTTACTTAAGATAACAATAGTGATAGTTCATGGATCAACTCTTCCTGTGATTGAACTTATAACCAGCCTAGAACAACTGCACCATTACCCTAGGCTGAAATATAACAGCTTCATATAAAGTATTTTCAGAACCTCTAGACCAGGCCAACATCCTCAAGAGTTTAGCTATTTGCTCCAACACACCTGCCTAGAAGTTTGTAGCAATTGCAAAGACCTTGATTAGCTAGTTTAGGTGTGTTAAATCATGGTCCACCAGGAGCAGGATTGGCCACCCCTGCTCTAGACTGGATGTAGGGTTTAGGTTGGGGTCAAAGTTGGAGCCTTAATCTTGTTTTATTTTGGTATTGAGATCTCTTGAGACCACATAAATGTTGCATTTGTAGGGGTCTGGGCTTTGATAGGCCAAATGTAGGTCTGGTCTTGTCTCCAACTCTTAGGGCAGGGGTTCTCAACTCTGGCCCTCGAGGTCCACTTTCCTGCAGAGTTTAGCTCCAACCTTGATCAAACTCACCTGCCTGTAACTTTCTAGTATTCCCGAAGACCTTGATTAGTTTGTTTAGGTGTGTTAAATTATGGTCCACCAGGAGCAGGATTGGGCACCCCTGCTCTAGACTGGATGTAGGGTTTAGGTTGGGTTGAAAGTTGGAGCCTTAAAGGGTTAGTTCACCCAAAAATGAAAATTAGCCCATAAATTACTCACCCTCAAGTCATCCTAGGTGTATATGACTTTCTTCTTTCAGACGAATCCAGTCGGAGTTATATTAAAAATGGTCTTTGATCTTTCAGATCAAAGACCATTTTTAATATAACTCCGACTGGATTCGTCTGAAAGAAGAAAGTCATATACACCTAGGATGACTTGAGGGTGAGTAATTTATGGGCTCATTTTCATTTTTGGGTGAACTAACCCTTTAATATTGTTTTATTTTGGTACTGAGATCTCTTGAGACCACAAAAATGTTTGCATTTGTATGGGTCTGGGCATTGAAAGGCCAAATATTGATCTGGTCTTGTCTCCAACTCTTAGGGTTTAGGGCAGGGGTTCTCAACTCTGGCACTCGAGGTCCACTTTCCTGCAGAGTTTAGCTCCAACCTTGATCAAACTCGCCTGCCAGTAACTTTCTAGTATTCCTGAAGACCTTGATTAGCTTGTTTAGGTGTTTTAAATTATGGTCCACCAGGAGCAGGATTGGGCACCCCTGCTCTAGACTGGATGTAGGGTTTAGGTTGGGGTCAAATTTGGAGCCTTAATCTTGTTTTATTTTGGTATTGAGATCTCTTGAGACCACAAAAAATTTTGCATTTGTATGGGTCTGGGCGTTGATAGGCCAAATATTGGTCTGGTCTTGTCTCCAACTCTTAGGATTTAGGGGATAGCTAGGTAAATGTTTGTCTATGTGTGTATATAGTTTCTGTGGGCGATGTGGAGGCTGTGCGGGAAGGGCACCAATCTGAGGTCCTGCTCAGCATTGCTGACGAGTTCCCGCCTGACCGCTGCTTCACCCTTGTGTTCCGTGGTCGACGAGGCAACTTGGACCTAGTGGCCGAATCAGCAGGGGAAGCGCAATCATGGATTAAAGGGATACGTAAACTCATCGATAACCTGGAGAACATGGGGCAGAGAGAGAAACTAGACCAGTATCCTTTACTGTCACTCTTTATCTGCCTGTCTATCATTCCACTCTCTGTCCATCTTACACGCACAAGGTTTCATGCAGGCTAAAAGGCATCAAAGGACACTTAAATAAACTGGGATGTAACACATCTGATCCATTTACCTGCTTTCACTCCATGAGTTATGGAAGTTGGACATGTCCCTGGGACAACATTCTTGTTACTCAAAGTTTTAACCCTATCCCTAACTACACTTGGATTGAAGTCCAAGCCCCGAGTTTGAGCCCTTAACTTCCAGGTCTTAAACATAACCCCCAGGAACCCTACTTTGGTAAATCATGTCAAGCACTTTAGTTTTCCCTTAAATGCTGTTTCCAGATGGATCTGTGATTGGTTTAAAAGGGCAGACAAAAACAGAGATGGGCAGATGAACTTTAAGGAGGTCCGCAATCTGTTAAAGATGATGAATGTGGACATGAATGAGCATCATGCTCTTCGTCTCTTTACGGTAACTGCACATTCACGGCCAACCTACAGTTACATTGCTATGCCACTTTGTAGCTTGATGTAGCTTAAGTTCAATGACGGTTTTGACACTAGACACACTTTATTATTTGGTGATCCATTAACAGATAGTTGCTTGTATTTGTACATTTTGGAACTTCTGTTGTTCTTCAGATGGCAGACAAGTCTCAATCAGGAACTCTTGAAGATGATGAGTTTGTGCTGTTCTATAAGATGTTGACTCAGCGTGAGGACGTCCTGCGAGTGTTTCAGGAATATTCGGGTGATGGGCAGAAGCTAACGCTCCAAGATCTGAAAGATTTCCTACGGGAGGAGCAGCTACACGAGGACGGAGTTCAGCAGTATGCGCTAAAGCTCATTGAACGCTATGAACCTTCAGACACGGGTAACCAATTTTGTGATGAAGCATAGCTAACAGACTTGTACTTTTCTTACTCGGGTTTCTTCGAAGCTCAAGTTATTTGTATTTTACTTTCCACTTGCCATTGATCTGTTTAGATAATCCTTGGTGGTTTGGCTTTCAAACTTCTCAAACTCATTACCTTCTAGTTCCAGGTATCCTAATGCTGCATTTTGTGTTCTTGACATCTTGGCGCATCTTTAAATGCATTAATTTGTTTATCCTATGTTCCTTTAGCAAAAATGTTGCAAGCAATGACGTTTGATGGTTTCCTGATGTACCTGAACTCGTCAGAGGGCTCCATTTCCAACCCTACCATGGTGGATCTCTACCGGGACATGACTCAGCCTCTCTGTAATTACTTCATATCGTCTTCTCATAACACGTACCTTCTGGAGGACCAAATCAGAGGACACAGCAGTGTGGAAGGCTATATACGGTACACATTTTCAAAAACCTATTTCAAGTAGGCATTTCCTTAAATTCTTGAAGATTAAATTCTTCTTTATATTCATAAATATGAACTTGTATGTGCGTTTTAGAGCACTGAAACGTGGCTGTCGATGTGTAGAAGTGGACTGCTGGGATGGACCAAATGGAGAACCAATCGTCTACCATGGACACACGTTTACCTCCAAGATCTTCTTCAAGGATGTTGTCACTGTGCTGGGCAACTATGCATTTAAAGTATGTCACAAACTATGGCTTTGTTTTCATTCACTCTTAAAACTGCACGTTCTTAACAAAAATGTTCTGTGATGGTGCCATGGTATAGTGGTGTTATCAGATGGTAATACTATAGTACTAAATATGGCATTGTAATGAATGAGTCCCATATTCAAATACTATGGTATTTATGTGGTTCTCTAAGGAAAGTCAAGGAATCCCATGGCATTAGCATCATGATAGTGTTCAACATAATTTATTAGCATGGTACCATTTTGAAACATGTCATTAACATGATACCTTACTTTCAAACAATACTGTACCACGGTATAGTGAAGGCAACAGATGATAATCAGGTACTTCAAAGAATACCATAGTAATACCATAGTTTTTTGGACTTTTCTATGATTTTTTTTTTTTGGAAGAACCATGTAAATACCATGGTACATGCATGGTATATTTCAAAATACCATAGAATTATCATCTGATTCTATTACTATACTGTTGGTAGAAATACCATGTTTGATATATACCCATACATGTCCATAATTCTCAAGACTTTTTATAACCGTCTTGTTTTCTTTTTTTCATCTTTGATCTTTATAAACTGGTTTAGAGTACTGTACTAGCTTTGCATTTTTTGTGTGTGTGACAGACTGGGGCCAGGTTCACTCTGAGCCAGGGCACCATGCCTTTCTGTTTGTGTGTAATGTGATCTAGGGCAGTCGACCCCTGCCTGCCAGTGTGTTAGCCGCTGTTCTGTGTTGAGTGTTCCATTTCACTCCATCACTTATTCACACACACACACTCTCCCCTCCGCAGGCATCGCAGTACCCTGTCATCCTGTCCATTGAGAACCACTGCAGTATAGAGCAGCAGAAAGTCATGGCCCAACACCTCACCCAGATCCTGGGAGACAAGCTGCTGAAAAGCCCTTTAGATGGAAAGATTCCCATCGGCCTCCCGTCTCCTGAGGTGAGCCGGAGAGCACGGATGCATGCGGTCAGTTAAACAAGTGCTTCCACTTAACAAATCCACTTAATTGCTGCTTAATGAGCAGTAAATGTCTAGCGCTGGTCGTTCATCTTGAAGAGTTCACGGCAAAGATCTTGAAGTTTCCACCCCATGAGCAGACGTGTGTATCAGAGTTCAGAGTGTGGTGATCTGTCCAGGATACATTCACTTTCTCCGGCTGTTCACCTGGGACGGCAGCCATATGATCTATGTCCATGTGACCCAGCCACGCTGAATTATTAAAGCAAACAATAATATTGGCCCCCCTCACAGACCATCATAGCCGTTAGCAACTAGCAAAACTTAATGGAACATCATTGTCTTCCCAGTGAAGCTAATTGACTAAGGAAATCTTGCTGGTTTAGATGCAAATTTATTGATTTCTTCAAAAGAGTCTCTATGCATCCCTGTTTGACCAACCACTAGTAAAGGCGTTTTCTAGGATGTGCACCTAATTTGTGTGTCCATGTGTTCTCTGTTAAAGTCTATGTTACTATATGAGATTTCTGATGGTTGCTGATGAAAGTGTATCTTCTCTATTTGTGTGTGTGTGTAGGACCTGAAAGGGAAGATTCTGTTGAAAGGAAAGAAGATAGGTGGATTAGAGAATAGCATGAATGGGGTGGTGGATGACCCTTTGATGGGAGAGGTGAGCGACGAAGAGGAGACTGCTGAAATTGACGATGACCATCATCGCAATGACAGCATACGGCGTAGAGTCAAGGTACAGTGATACATTTCAAGAGAGATGTTTGTGTAGATTTTCTAATCATGGCAGCAGTAATTTATCAAATGTTGATTAAGATGAATTCCACAACCTTGCACTTAAACCATGCAGTGGTGTACCCAAGTCAGTAAAGAGTTTGAAACCCAGCAAAGGTAGATCTACGAACTACCACTGTTATACCCTTTAACAAGACCCATAACCACAGGTTACTCGAGGGGGACCATTCCTGTAACTAGTACACTGTAAATCACTCTTGGTAAAAGTGTCAACTAAATGGCTAATTAGTAGTCAACAACGAAATAATGTTAAGGATAATGGGGCATATCTAGGAGACAATTTCTTTGGCTACTCCAATGTATTGTAAAATATTGAATGACGGTCTTGTCTCTTTGGGAGTCTTATCAGGTGTTCATCAGAGCTCTGCGGTGCTGTGTCCTCAAGTAAGAGTTAGAGTCTGCATGACTTTAATCACAAGATTCAAATCTAATTACATAACATGTTGAACACACTCCTTCAGTTTGATCATCCCTGGAAACTTCCACTTGTGAACAGGAGTGTTACTTTGCGCCAACGTCAAGTGAAAAAAATCTCTGTTCTGGACCATAAGCAGTTTAACTAATGTAGACCAGCTTGTCTCATGTTGAAGGTAGCAAAATATTCTGACAGACAAGAGATGCTCAGTGGCTCTGAAAATGGGCGGATTGCATAAAGCACTAATGAAAGTTGGAAGACGTGACACTAGAGCATGTCACTAATCCTAACACTAATCACTAATCTTAGGAATGAAGACACTAATCTTGGGAATGAAGTAGACAAGCAAACAAGAAAAAGCAAGAGAGAAAGTCAGAGAGAGATAAGACAGAAACGGCATATCTTCTGTGGTCTTCTGCCATCTGATAGGTGGCCATGTGCATTTGCTGGTGCTGCTGTTACCATGTGACACTTGATTCTTTGAACTCTGGTTAGCTGCAGTCAGGGATCACCTCTCTTGGTTTCTCCAATCCGAGATACAGTCATCTTGTTGACTCGTCAACTGAAAAAATTTTGGCATGGGATGTTTAGCTTTTAATTTGCAGACAAGCACTGCTCTTTGGACTCCGTCTTGTTGGATAACTGGTTTAGGCCAATTACTAAATAGTCATTTAGTTGTCAAATTTACCTCAAGTGACTTACTTACAGTACCATTACTACAGGGATAGCCCCTCTTGCTCAGTGGTACAATGTTGAAGGACTAACCCATGCTGGCTTTGAACCAACTTTCGGTTCCAGCCCAGATCTAGGCTTCACCACTCTATAAGCAAGTTGAATATCATGTTAAGTTGGCACAGCAGGTTGGCATGGATGAACCCAACAGATGGTAGTGTAAGATGAAGCCAGGTGGATACGTGGCCTCATTATCCAAGGGTCGTCTGTCATGACATCGTCTAAGTAGTTCTGGGTTCAATGGCTTAGGTAGCAGAACTAAATGCTTGGAGTAAAAACGCATCATACAATCTAGACCTGACCAGCTGACAAGTGCCCACAACCCCTCTGAAATAATCAAAACAGACCACCCTGGCTAGTGAAAAACTAGCAAACCACCTTAGGAAGGAGTTGAAAATTAAAGCTTGTTTTCAGATAGTTTTTCTAACCTGTTTAGGACTGTTTTTGTACTGTCTAGAAATCCAAGCAGCGTTCAACCCACAGGACATGTGGAACGCAGGGTGCCAAATTGGTGAGCCTACCTGAGTAAAAAAAAAGATGAAATATGAATTCTTTAGAATTCATGAGATTCTTGTTTAGTGAAGATTAATATGGACTTTCATGGAATTTTTAAATATTCTTTTGATGAACATTGCATAACTAGCTATAGATAGTTAGGATTAAATTGAGATTAAGACAGATGTGATTAATAGCTAGTTCTTGAGTCAACTTGTTATGTATTAGAAATTAGTCTGACTAGCCTGTTAAAAAACAGCTTTAACCAACCTACCTTTAACCAAGTGGTGTGCATGTTTTAGTTAGCCATCTATCTGGTTAGGATAGTTTGGTTTGTTGGTTTTAGAGAAATTTTAGGCACTTTTCAGCTGGTCGGACAGCTGACCAACTGGCTAAATCAGCTGAACACTACCAACCTGACCAAGCTGGGAGACCAGCTAAACCATCTTAAACCAACCAACCAATCATACGATGGTTTAATATAAACTATTCAAAGTTGATGAGCATTGTTAGTTAACAAGCCAAGACATCACTAGTGTAACATCCTAAATTATCATTCTTTATCCATGAAAATGGAAATTGTTCCAATAGACATTATTTTAAGCAGGATCTGTTACTACTAAATACAAATGGTGGTAAATATATTTCACTGCTAAGTGTAGCCTTCTCTTCTCTCCTCTCCTCTCCTCTCCTCTCCTCTCGTCTCGTCTCGTCTCGTCTCGTCTCGTCTCGTCTCCTCTCCTCTCCTCTCCTCTCCTCAGTTGCTCTGAACTTTCAGACCGCAGGGGTTGAGATGGATCTGAATGATGGCTTATTCAGTCAGAACGGACATTGTGGCTACGTACTGAAACCAACATTCATGTGCAACACTGATGAGCGGTTTGACCCAGAAAACCCTCAAAACCGAGACGGTTACAAGCCGCTTAGCCTGTCTGTACAGGTACAAACCTGAATTTCTGTGTGTGCTGGTGTTATAGAATGTGTATATGCTAAACCTGCATATATTGTGTTCTTTCCAGGTAATCAGCGGCCAACAGCTTCCCAAGGTAAACATCAAGGAAGGCTCAATCATTGATCCCCTCGTTCGGGTGGAAATTCACGGCATACCACTGGACCAGGCCAAGCAGGAAACCAGATACATTGACAACAATGGTCAGTTAAAACGTATAGGACAGAGTTGTGTCTAGACTGAGAAAGCCTAGACGCAGTTAATCCAGAGATCTAGTTGCGTTCGAAAGACTAACCAAACTTGTTTTCAAATGAATGGTTTTGGACATTCTCTAAGGTTCATGGTGAATGTAGATTATTTATATATTGTATTGTTTTAATCCCTTTTTAGCTTTTGAGCAATCAACTTAAATAGTCCTGTAACTAATACATTTTTAAAAGTACAAATATTCCATTATATTCCAAGTACAATTAATATCAGCTACCTATTTGTCTCTGCAGGTTTTAACCCAGTATGGTACGATACGCTTCAGTTCACAATTCATGTCCCTGAATTGGCACTGGTACGGTTTGTCGTGGAGGACTATGATAAAACATCAAAGAACGACTTTGTGGGACAGTTCACTCTCCCTTTCACCTGTATTCAACCAGGTACATCTCCATACCACCAAATGCATAAAAAATGTATCCTCTGGGGAGCTGATGTTAAAACTAAGCACGTTTTGTTCTTCCTCGTAGGATATCGTCACATTCATCTCCTGTCTAAGGACGGCAATTTGAAAAATAATGTGTTTTTTGAACATTAAAGCATGTCAACATATTCTGTTACACCAAATACACAAAATAATGATCTTTAAAAAAGCATCATATGACCCCTTTAAAATTGGTTGTCAGCCACCAATCTAAAGAAGAAGACAACCCAAAACCAAGACGGGATTATAGTACGGAATCATGTCATTGGGATTTTTTGGTTTATTTTGTCCTACAAGCAAAATCCTGATCCATACTTTATTCCAGTCGGTGGCGTTAATGGACCAGTCAGTTAGTTAGGTTGCCAACCGCCAATAAACACCAAAAAAGAAGAAGAAGGAACTCATCTTCTGTTTCATTTTCACCCGGACAATATTAGCTGCAACACCAAACAAATTGTCAATTTTAACACGTGCGGGACTTATTCTGAATGTATGCGCGGTGTATAAACATTAAGATCTTATCAATATAAATTAAAACGCATACACCGAGACAGGATGGTGGGGAAAATTAAACGGGCCCGGCAGAAGCTCCACCACGGCGCTGTAAAGCTGGAAAATGAGGCCGAAAACAAACCCATGCTTGGGGGGAATCTGAAGACGATACAGATCAAGCCCATTCAGCTCATTAAAACAGATTCAAAAGAGACCAAACTCAACGCCTCTGACAGCAGTATAAACAGTAATTCAAAGGTATAGATATTTGTTTGGATTGTTATTCATCTGTGGTATGCTACTTTCACATGTCAGTGTAATATGTTGCCAGTGTCATTTCTCCTCAGATGACCTGCTCTTAAAGAGATCATTCTTCATTCAGCTTCATGTGTTTTCCATGTAGGCGTTCAGTTTTCCCACTGGAGTTTTTGCTGGAACTAAAATCTCCCCTGAGTCTTTAGTTCAAACGCTGAAGGTTGATGAACCAAATGTGACCATAAGCAAACAGTCTGCAGGAGAACAGAAAGGTGAGGGTTTTTTTCTCTCCTTTTTTATTCCTCAAAGATTTGCTTTTAAATATGGAAATATTTCAACATGATATTAAAAGTATTTCGTGTTGTTACACATGCAAAAACAAATAAAAAATGATTATATTGTATTATAATTCGTAATATTATTTTTTTTACATTTAAATCTGAATTTAGTAATGTATTTAATTATGCTGATGTTTATGATTTAAAACATGTAAATAATGATTTAATATTGTTTTTTTTAAATGTAAATTATGATTTAATATTATTTTTACTATTATAAAGTATTGCAATTGCACTATATTTTTTACATTTAATTCTGAAAGTGGTATCATCTTGAAAAAAGTTATTATGCAAAATGAAGAAGAATGTTTATTATTTTATTTATAGGTCATAATCATTTAGTATTTGTTTTACTTTTACTATACTTTCACATTTTTGCACAGATTTGCTTTTAATTATGTAGGAATTTCAACAGAATGTTACATACAAAAAAATATGTTGTAATATATTGTAGTATAATTAAAATATTTATATTTACATTTAAATGAAGAATATGTTGACAAATGTAAAGCTATGCAAAAAAGGCAAAATGTGGAAAAAATATTTATTCTATTTATAGGCCATAAACATGCAATATTTATTTTACGTTTATTATTATAATGCTATTATAGTTTATCTTTTGCACAGATTTGCTTTTAATTATGCAAGTATTTCAACTGAATATTACAAGTATTTAATCTTAATACATACTCAAAAATGTAAAACGAAGAAAAGTTATAATGCATAATGAAAAGGATGTTTTTTTCTATTTATTTGTCATAGTCAGGTAATATTCATTTTACTTTCTATTATAATCTTTTAATTCAGATTTTTGTTTTTTTTGCACCAGTTTGTTTTTAAATATGTATTTCAACTGAATATTACATTTCATGTTAATACATACTCTTTTTATAGGATGTAATCATTTAGTGTTCATTTTAATTGAACTATAATATTATAATTTAATATATTAAAAATATTACATTATATTAAAATATAATGTTATTATAAAAAAGATTATTAGTATTTAAATGCATAATCTTGTTGCCAAAAATGCGCACACGTTTGTGACCACAAGATGACAGTGTGTAGCATGTTTTTGAAGTCTTGTAAAATCTAAAGTCTGTTTCGGAAATGATGTATATGAAACAATAACATCTGTAATGTGTTGAATGTTGGATGTTTGAAATCAATCAACAAATATTTGATTTATGCTGTAAGGGTGGTGTAGCCTAGTGGTTAAGGAAGATCCAGGCTCTTCATTGAAAAGCTGTTGGTTCGAATGGTTCCAGGAACTAAGCATTTAACAAGTTGTAGAGTAATCAACGTATTGTGATTAGATGAATGTGAGCGTGTTTTTGACATGTATCGAGTGTCTCTGTATAAATGTCAGCTGTGTGTGAGTATTGAGGTTGGGTAAGGAGGGCTGTTCTATTCCTGGCTGTCTGCAGTATAAATAACTCACGCGTGAACATCACAGCGCTGCTGCATCAATGCACTGACTGATGTGACCGCTGACTCCACGGCTGCTCACGCGCACGAATCTGTGTTTCTCTTGAGGAGAACTGTACGATTGAGGACAGCTAGTAAAGCTGGAAGACTGGCTGAACACGTATATGAGTTATGCCTCACCGTGGCCTTGGCTACACTGTAAAAAAAAATCTGTGACATTTACGGTAAAATACCGGCAGCTGTGGTTGCCAGAACTTCACCGTAAAAAATATGGTAGCAACATTTTAGGTTTTACAGACTTGACTTAAATTCACAATAAAATACCGTATTTCATTAACTGATGTAATGTTAATAAACCAACACATTGAAGTACTAATATCTGTTTTGAACCATTGTAATGCACTAATAACCACCAAAAACTGGTGGTGATGAGAAAGTCACATGATGAACCAACGCTCATCACAAACAGCTTTTCTACGAGCTGAGGAGGGCAATACTTATATATAGAAGGTGCACACAGTGTCATTCACATAAACACTAAACCCCATCATGGTGACACACATGATTCTGAAATAATGCAATAAACATGAATTTAACAACATTAGATGTAAGGTTAAACCCTAATGTACACAACTGATAAGAAAAAACTAAGAAGAAACATGTTATTTCAACAAAAAAACAAACTATGAAGTGTCATGCAGGAAATTCTGGGAGTGTCAATTTACGATTTTTCACTGTAAATTATACAATGATTTTTTCTTTTTCACTTCCAAAAACTGTATTTTTAACAGTATTTTACTGTTAAATTACGTTAAATGTAATTACATTTATTCACTGAATATATTATGGCAACTTACTGTTAACCAGTTTTTACTGTAGCATTTTGACAGTCTTTTACTGTTAAAATCACAATCATTTTTTACAGTGTACTATTCTAGTCTTGATATTTCTGCAGAGTAAACATACAGTGTACGTTTACTGTACTTAGTATGCAAACTTTCTGTGCGTGGGTGTTTCTTGAATTCTGGTGGTTTTGGTACTGCAGACTTTTTTAGAAACTCTCTTAAAACATATTTTCATGCTCTTAATATAACTGTATTTTTTCAGTATTAGTAAAAGCAAAAATGTTGCTTTTTCCCCCCTTAAAAAGTAATTAACATTTCCTCCACATTCATAGCTAGCATTTTATGTATCCTAAATGTATCATAAATACTTTTTATATATTTTTAAATAATTTATTTGAATAGATTATATAAGTATTTTTAATGTAATAAATATTGAAATGGTTTATTTGACTCTTTATTAAGATCATAGTATAACAATTCAGTTTTCTTAGTTTATCAGTTAATCAATGTATTATTTTACTAATATCCACTACTTGTTTGAACATGATTCATATTCATATATAATCAATCAGAAGATATTCAAATAAATTAAATAAAAAACTAAAGCATTCATATATATATATATATATGTAGTATTTTAATAAATGAAAGTTTTTTTATTTGAAAAAAATATAATATTGTTTTAATTTGAAAAAAATGATATACAAAATATAAATTTGTTAATGTTTCAATCAATATTCATATATAAATTAATCACACACACACACACACATATAATTGAAAAGAATAACATTTAAAATAATATACATTTTTTAATATACAATATACAATAATATAGCCTACATTAATTTCATTATTAAATGTAATTGTTTAATATCCTTGATTTGTTTGAATAGGCTTCATATATATATATATATATATATATTCAGTC